GGGAGGAGGGGGGGGAGGAGGAGGAGGAGGAGGAGGAGGGAGGAGGAAGGGAGGGGGAGAGGCGGCGGCGGCTGCGGCGGCGGCTGCGGCAGCGGCTGCGGCCGCGGCTGCTGCGGCGGCGGCGGTGGTGGCGGCGGTGGGGTGGCGGGAGCGGAGCGGCATGGCCACGGCGGCTTCTAACCCGTACCTCCCCGGGAACAGCCTCCTGTCGGCCGGCTCCATCGTGCACTCGGACGCCTCGGGCGGCGGGGGTGGCGGCGGGGGCGGGGGCGGCGGCGGGGGCGGCGGCGGAGGCATGCAGCCCGGGAGCGCCGCCGTGACCTCGGGTGGCTACCGGGGGGACCCGTCCTCCGTCAAGATGGTCCAGAGCGACTTCATGCAAGGGGCCATGGCCGCCAGCAACGGCGGCCATATGCTGAGCCACGCTCACCAGTGGGTCACGGCCCTGCCCCACGCCGCCGCCGCCGCCGCCGCTGCCGCCGCCGCCGCCGTGGAAGCGGGCTCGCCCTGGTCCAGCAGCGCCGTGGGCATGGCCGGCAGCCCCCAGCAGCCGCCACCACCTCCGCCGCCGCCACCCCCGCAGGGCCCCGACGTGAAAGGCGGCGCCGGGAGAGACGACCTGCACTCGGGCACTGCGCTGCACCACCGGGGGCCGCCCCACCTTGGCCCCCCACCGCCGCCGCCCCCCCACCAAGGCCACCCGGGCGGCTGGGGCGCTGCCGCCGCCGCCGCCGCTGCTGCCGCCGCCGCCGCTGCAGCCGCGCACCTCCCGTCCATGGCCGGGGGCCAGCAGCCGCCACCGCAGTCTCTGCTCTACTCGCAGCCCGGGGGCTTCACGGTGAACGGGATGCTAAGCGCCCCCCCGGGTCCAGGAGGCGGCGGTGGGGGAGGCGGCGGCGGCCAAAGCTTGGTGCACCCTGGGCTGGTGCGCGGGGACACGCCGGAGCTGAGCGAACACCACCATCACCACCACCACCACCCGCACCCGCCTCACCCGTCGCACCCACATCACCCGCAAGGACCCCCTCACCACGGTGGGGGCGGAGGCGGCGGGGGAGGCCCGGGACTGAACAGCCACGACCCGCACTCGGACGAGGACACGCCGACCTCGGACGACCTGGAGCAGTTCGCCAAGCAGTTCAAACAGCGGCGGATCAAATTGGGATTCACGCAGGCAGACGTGGGGCTGGCCTTGGGCACCCTGTACGGGAACGTGTTCTCGCAGACCACCATCTGCCGCTTCGAGGCCCTTCAGCTGAGCTTCAAAAATATGTGTAAGCTGAAGCCGCTGCTGAACAAGTGGCTGGAAGAGGCCGACTCGTCCACCGGCAGCCCCACCAGCATCGACAAGATCGCCGCCCAGGGCAGAAAGAGGAAGAAGCGGACCTCCATCGAGGTGAGTGTCAAAGGGGCCCTGGAGAGCCACTTCCTCAAGTGCCCCAAGCCTTCAGCGCAGGAGATCACCAACCTGGCCGACAGCCTGCAGCTGGAGAAGGAGGTGGTGAGAGTCTGGTTCTGCAACCGGCGGCAGAAAGAGAAGAGGATGACACCCCCGGGGATCCAGCAGCAGACGCCCGACGATGTCTACTCGCAGGTCGGCAACGTGAACGCGGACACGCCACCCCCACACCACGGACTGCAGACGAGCGTGCAGTGAAGATGGAGAGAATGAGAGAAGGAGAGAGAGGGAGGCACCAGACACCGTAGCCGCCGCCGTCGCCTCCGCAGCTGCCGCCAGCCACCGCCAGCCGCCACCACCACCTCCAGCTACCGCTGCCGCCGCCGCCGCCGCCACAACAAAATCAGCAGCAACAACAGCGAGAGAGGAGAAAACATCCATCCCCCTCTCGCCCCCCACCTCCTCCGCCCCCCCATACCTACATACGTGCACACACTTTTGTAAAAAGGAAAGAAAAAAAGACAAGAGGACGGAGGAGAAAAACACCAAAATCAAAGAAAACGGGGGCAAAGAAAACAAGAAGCTTAATAAATACCCAGACTGTTTAGACTGGTTTATATATATATATATATATATATGTGTGTGTGTGTGTATGTATGTATATATATATATACATATATACATATACATATATAAATAATGAAAAAACGTTTGGAGAAAAAAGGGGGAGCGATCAAAGCAATCGCATTTATATACTGTGGTGGTTTTTCTTTTTTTAAAGGGGGGGGTGGAGATGCGTACTGCACCAGAACTACAGATGTGGGGTTTTCCCCTAAATGATCCCCTGTTGAAGCGGTGGACAAGACAGCACCCACCTCGACACTTCTCTCCTTCTCTCCTCTAAAAAAAAATGCCCCCCTCTCTACTTTACCCTCCCTCCGAAGGGCTGTCTAATATGACTCACGGAAACTTTTTCTTTCTTTCATGGGAACAGTCCAGAAAGGAAGAAGTAAAGGCATCTGGTTTGATCAGAGGGTGCCTACCTGCATTCCAGGACCCTGGGCTTTTTTTTCTTTTTTTTTTCTTTTCTTTTTCTTTTTTTTTTTCTTTTTTTTTTTCCATATTCACATAATTCTGGGGCAAGCAGACATCTACTCTGAAATGAAAAATACCAATTCACTTCAGAAAAAGGAAATATGCACACAGCACTAAAATAACCAGACTGAATAACTGAAGTTAAAAAGAAAGAAAACACCCTTAAAGTTAACCCCAAAAGAAAAGGATGGGTGGGAGAGGGGAAAGGGGACAAACACCGGAGGGAGGGTGGGGAGAGGAGAGACTCCCAGTCCGTGAAAGTTCGAGGTTCTAGGAGGACTTTGCATGAATCAAGGGCAACAGCAAAAGAGAAATGGGAAATAAGTCGAGTCTGTCAGAGTCATGGTTTTGATGGCTGCCACTCAACGTGGAAGATTCAAAAAAAAATCCACCGCTAATATTTTTTTTATTAATATTTTTATTTTTTATTTCTGGACTGATTCAGATAAAGGGATTTAGAAAGACTGAATATCTGCAGCTGCACTTATCTGAACTTCTCCTCTCCTAAATCCGTTGCCAACTTTGATTGAATGGGTGCTGTGGATGTGATTATATAATACTGCCATTTCCAAGCAGTGTTTTTGGTAGGTTTTAATAAACAGACTTTTCAAAAGACGGCAATATAGAATTGTTAGATCCGTTGTTGATCTAAAAATATTTGCTTTATATTTTCATTAAATGACTTCTTTTAATATTTTATTCAGAATACCTATGAACTGCTGCAAAACGGTAATTTATTTTTCCCCAGATCTTGTATTACGTGTTTTTTTCAGACGAGCACAAATCAAAAATGAAATGAAAATATGGACAGTTGTTAGGTAATAAGGGTATCTTTTGATGTGATAATTTGATTGTAATTTAATTTGAGTAGTGATTCCGTAAGAGCTGATTGAGAAAATAAATTTGTTAGAATGAAATAGTCTGTGTCTGATGCGTAAACACTGTGTCGGGAAAAAAAAGTATTCTTAAAATATTTTTAGACAATGCAAATCCTTAAGTGATAGAATTAATGAACTATAACCTAAACCACTTAAGGTTTTTGGAAATGCAAAAGAAAAGAAAAGACTTATTCATGCTGTTAGAGGTTTAGGGTAGTATTCACTTCTCTTAAATTCATAAGCTTCCTAATATCCCTCTCCCTAATTTCAGTGAGCTTATCAAAAAATGGGATAATGGAATAGTCTAGCTAGTAAATAACGCTCTTCTTGGAGATACTTGTATTCTTTTAACCTAAGACTACAGTGCTTCACTAAATGTACCAAGTGATTATTAATGGTTCTTACAAAATGCTCCAAAAAGTTTAGCCTCTCCCCTCTCCTTTCCATCCCTCCATCTGTATTTCTCTGTGTGTCTGGCCTCTTTTCTCAAAACTAAAAATAGTGGAGGATAGTTTTTTAAGCCTATAAATGATTTTATACAATGTAACGTCTGAATGATAATTGCCTTTATCTTTATAATTTAATGTATTTTAATGGAATAATATACTCCCAAAATTCTAGTTACAGTCTGTGTAATTGTTGTCTCAGGCTCCTGGTACTCAGTGTTAAGTGCTCCAATGTTTTCTTCATCCTCAGCAGTTTCTATATCTTCCTAATACAATGGGGTATATTAGTTTGTCAAAGATGCCTTTAGATGCAGCAGAAAGGGTTGTCGTACTTATCAACTGAATTTATTAATATTTATAGATGTGTGAAAATGAAAGCTTTCAATATTTAAGGTTGTAAGAACTGGATATCTCTCTCTTCTCTCTCTCTCTCTCTCTCTCTCTCTCTCTCTCTCTCTCTCTCCCTCCCTCTCCCTCTCCCTCCCTCCCTCCCTTCTTCCCTTCCTCCCTTCTTCCCTTCCTCCCTTCTTCCCTCCCTCCCTCTCCTGCTTTCCCCTTTCTCTGATTGAAACTGGGGTTAAAAACTGGGAAAATTGTTAGAGAAACAAGAAAGAGTTGTTCCTTTTGGATAGGTCTGGTGTCACTTTCATAAATCAAGGCCAACCTGATAGCTCTGTGTTAAGGATGCTTTATTTTTAAACACCATCTTCGGTTAAAAATCACAATGATTTAGATTTGTGAAATTTGGAAAAGACCATTACCTAAAAGAAAAAGAGAAGGATATCAAATGAAAGAACCATAATTTTAATTGTTTTTACTTTGTTTTCTTTTCTTTTTTGTTCAGTGTTAGCTGTCCAGCAATTTTATAATATGGAAAGGGATGGGAATAGAGGGAGGAAGGGGAAGAAGGATTTCATCAGTTTTACAGTCTTCAGGGGATTCAAAGAACGGCCGTCTAATTTGGAGGCAAAGGGTTGGGTGGGTTTGTGTTTATGTGGTAGATACTATTAACACGTGAGGTGGAATTCTGTTTTTCACACAGGAAGGGTAGTGGCTGATTAGACAAGGAACAGGTCTATTTAAATTTCTTAGAGGTATTTGGTTACTGGATTTGGATGACAACAAAGGCTAACATTAGGTTTCACACTGTTTTCTATTAAAAGGCAACCTTTGCCAGGTTCTGTAGAAGAAAAGCTGATTTTAGAGTAGCAGAGTAACCTTTAGTTTGAAAGGCTGGAAAAAAAAATGTGCCCATTTGTGTAATTATTTTGCATAGTCAGTGAGGTCATTTTGTCTCCTAATAATAACAACATTATTATTGTTGTTATTGTTATTATTATTAAACAATCTTTTGAATGTATTTGGAAACTTCAGGGTTGCAAGCACATGGATAACAAAGTGATGGATAGCTATAATGGAGAGGTTTATGCTAAGGGTTATATTGTTACACATGTAAATATGAAAATATTGTTATATATCACCAAATCTTTTAATGAATTTAAGCATTGTGTTCATTTACACCACCAGTGTCTCTTGTGGTTAGCAAGTGAGTCTCCAATTTTTCCACCATTTTTGTCCCCCACCCCCACCCCCTTTCCCTACCTAACCTAAAGGAAAGCCAAATGTTTAACAAAGTTATATTTAATCAGTCTGGGTAATCCCAAGATGTGATTATTTAGTTTACAGTTTCTTGTTCCTAAGCCTCAGTCTTCTCACTGACCCTCCCATCCTTTCTCTACAAGTCTATATGAGAAATCATTTCAAGGTGTATTTAAAATAGTCACCTCACTGTTGTTGATCTACCTAATTTTTTTTTTCAGAATTTAGCACAGATCTACTTTGTTTCCAAATACAACCATTCCTAATTGACCTTTAGAGCTTCCTTATGCTTTCCTGTAGTATCTGGTGTTTGCACATGGCAATGTTCATGACTTGTTCTGTATGAATGGTTTTCAATGGAACGTTCAGAGAATAATTGGTTCTGATATGAAATGCAGTATATGCTATTGATAGTTTTATCAATAAGTGTAATATTTTAAATAATTTTAACAATTAAATTTGTTTTTTAAATTATATATTTGTAAAATATTTATCCTGTTGAAAGCAACAATATATTGTTGTATTTATTCGTTTTATTTTTGTAATAAATGATCAACCTCTTCAAGTTAAAGCAAAAATGCTACTTTTATATACTTATGCATAAATTCATTTTAAGAGATGGATATACTTGCACCAATTTGTATGGTAAACAGAGTGAGATCCATCAATAGGTTGTAGTTTTTGGAACTAAACTGTAGGAGAGAAACATTCTCTCCACTTGGAGTTTAGTTTGCCCAAGTTCTAGGATAATTAATCAAATTCTAAAATAGATGCAACAAGTATTGGCACTAGATATAGAGTTGAAATTAATTATTTAGGACCCAGACCTTCCCCCGCCCCCCCCCCCAGGCAAGAAGATGGAAATTCTGAGGGAATTCTCTTATTTTGTTGAATGCACGTGGCTGGCTAGAAAGACGAAAACAGATGCAATGTACCAGTGAAAAACCCAGTTATTTTCTATTTCATTTAGAAATACTTGGCTGTATTCAGTCTTGGATAGGAGATATAGAAATAAAGAGAGTTGAGAGGTTGGAGGTACCGATGGACCCTTCAAAGCAAGATGCTTTGGGTCTGGCTTTCGCTATTTTGAAGGGGGGAGGGGTAAAGCAGACCAAAAAAAAAAAAAAAAAGGACATTTAGGATGGATACGGAAGAACAGAATCTCTTTCTTCCCATCTAGTAACTTTCAAAATAAGCAAACAATAAAGAGGGAAGGGAGGCTGATAGGATAAAAACGGTT